GGGGGTCATCTCACCAAAGCCTCTTAATGTTGTTATTTAGTTTTCAGTTTTACACTTTGCACCAGAAGAGAGATCTGGATGAACTGAGAGCTACATGTGTATGATGTGAATCTGTATGGATCTGCCTGACTTAATTAAACCTAATCCACCCCTAAACAACCAGCGAGGAGCAATGATCTGGGATTAAGGTTTATCCTAATATGTTGATTGAACTGTGAAATAAGAGTATGATCATGCATGAACACACCCAAGCATAAACCTCTCATATGACAACGTAGTGAATGCAGTAAATGAAAAGTGCATGAGCTGCACACACTTATGTGCACCGCACCATGAGCTATGTGCGTATGTATTTGTATGCAGTGTATGTGTTGGTCTCTGCTTGTGTGACGGCTGGTCTTTGCTTGCATATCTGGGTGTGAGAGTCTGCATTTAGATTTGTATTTACTCCACTTATTGAAAAACGTCACAGAATACCAAACAAGCCGTGTATGTGTACGTCTTTGCACAGCGAGACGGTTATTTACTTCGCCATCCAGAGAATAACGTCCCGTGGTACACAGCAGATCCACGACAGATTTGTGGGATCATGAGTTTAATTGATCATTAATCCACATCACAACAGGGATAATGAGAGAACTGTGGATGTGAATTGTAGTCAACATTCTCATCTGCGTCACAAATAAAAGGAGCAATTCACTCAAACACCATACTAAATTGCTTGCTGCATCCCTGCCTTTTCTTCTTTTTTAAACTGGATTATGTTTCTTACCAGACTACTAAACAGCCAGACTGTTGCATGGGATTAATTACAAGGAGCTAATAGTCAGTGTCAAAGGAAACAACAAATGAAGACTACAAATAAGCTGATTACACACCTGCCCATCAATATGACAATACTGAACAAAGACAGACAGTAAAGGTAGAATATCAACAAATTTACAGAAAATTCACATTCAATTCAGAATGACCTTTTGCACGACTGTGATCTTAATACAATGGCAGCCAAATGTTAACCCCCAGTACCAAACACGTGTGCCTACAATGAGGACGCAATACACTATCTGAATTACATGCTCACTCCCTTTAAAGCTCACACTAAATCCTCACCTAAGGATGAGATATTCTGTATAGATAGTAATATTATAGAACATGATATAGAGGGCTTTTTTTTTTAAACAATATATCCATTTGACTCCAGATGAGACAATGTATGAAGATAATAATGCAACGTGTCTGCGGCTGTACAGTGCGATACCAATCAAAGCAACAATGATGGCGCCTGCTCTGAAATGAGCTTGGTTCTCGTTGGTTAGAGGTATCCTCAGATCTTGCTACATAGATGTAATCACCACACACTTAATTATTCTGTGACATAACTACATAACTTAACACCACAATCAGTGGGATACTTTAAGTACTCCTGTTTGACATTCATTCAAGTAGTATATAAACATTAATAAAAGATTTATAAAATGTTATCCAACGAGTCGATCATTATAGTTTGGATAGAGACCTCACATAACTCCACTTGTTACAGTATTAACATACACACACACACACAAATGGTGGAATATGATGCTGTCTTGCTCACAAATAACATCAAACAATCAGCAGCACACACACACACACACACACACACACACACACACACACACACACACACACACACACACACACACACACACACACACACACACACACACACACACACACGTCTGTATCCCCTAGTAGAGAGAGATTTTGTTTTGTTGCCTGCTAAACAATCGTTGCAGGGAGTGATTTTAGAGGGCCAAAGAGAGATGCTCTGATCTTTTGCAGGTTCTCTTTGAATAAGCTTCTTGAAAGAGGAATAAAAAAGCACCCCTGTTGGTTTGGGTATTTTGTTTTACCCTCAAAGTCAAAACCAAAGTAAAAGAGGCTCAAACTTTTGGTTGTTTGCCACAAAGACTGAGGGGATTAAGGGTGGCTTTGGTTAAATGTTTGTGGGGACGAATGTAAAATCAACACAGATCAAAGTTATACAAATGAATTGTTTGGAACAAGCCCTGAACATAAATACTTTACACAGAGTATTACACTAACAACACGAGACATTTAGACATATAGAAAGGATTAAAGGATGGATTTGAAGAAGGTTAAAAGAAAAAGAAGATGTTGAAGCAAATAGGAAAGATGACTTACTCCATTAACTCTTTAAATACAAGAGTTGTCTGTGAGTAGTTTTCAAATCTTTGGCCTCTGCAAAGCGGCGTAGACCAATCATCTCATATCTTTGTTAATCAGGTATCAGGTTTACATTCTACTGTAATATGTCCAAGGAAACGGGTCCTCTGACTCGCTGGCTGCACTAAATAAAGGAAAGCCATGTTAGCCCCTTTCGCAGGGTTTACAATCTGACATGACTGGCTCCAACAATCTATGTTGTCAGATCAGTAATGATGTTTCAATTATTGGTGACCACTTGAAAGTTTGATAAAACACATGATTCAGAGTAATTAATGTGTTTGGTTAAGGCGAAGCATTGAAATGTTGATTACGCGGGTAAATCACAAGCACAAACGGAAGGAAATACTGACATGAATGGTTTTAAGCTTTGGAAAATAAACCACACTTTGAGAAGCAATGGGTTAGAAATTTCAGTGGTAACAGAAAGTAAACAATGAAAAAAAATAAAGTTGGCAAGGCCTTCAGCTTTGCCCAGACCTACACACAAACACTCCTGCCATCAAGACAAGTGAACTACAGAGTCATGAAG